AGTAGTACCAGGAAGCATTTAGTTTGGATATTAGGGAAAATCTTTTCACTGGAAAGGTTGCTCTGCCTTGTTACAGCTGCCCAAACTGGAGGATCTTGAGCAGTGCAGTCAAGATTGAGGAAATGGCCCAAAATTGTAGCAAGAAAAGCTTAGGTTGGATATTATTGGAATTTTTTTCCTCTGGAAGGGTTGGCAAAGCTGGAGGATCTTAAGCAAAATGATCAAGATTGAGGAAATAGCCTCAGGTAGTACCAGGAAAAGCTTAGGTTGGATATTATTGGAATTTTTTTTCTCTAAAAGGGTTGGCCAGCCTACACTGGGGAATCTTGAGCAGGGCAGTCAACATTGAGGAAATGGCCCAAAATAGTAGCAAGAAAAGCTTAGGTTGGATATGATTGGAATTTTTTTCTTCTGGAAGCGTTGGCCAGCCTCGGAACAGCTGCCTACACCACAGAATCTTCATCAGGGCAGTCAACATTGAGGAAATGGCCCCAAAATTGCAGCAGGAAAAGCTGAGGTTGGATATTATAGAAAATCTTTTCATGGGAGTTGAGAGAAGTGACTCAGAAATGGAGCCACGCTCAGAATTTTCCACGGGAATCCAAACTCTGCTGGGAGAAAGCGGCTCCACAGCAGTTTGCAAATTTACCTGAGTGTGACAAGGATTAATTTACCTGAGTGTGACAAGGATTAAGTTACCTGAGTGTGACCAGGACAGGAGAGAGATTTACATGAGTGTGACAAGGGTTAATTTACCTGAGTGTGACCAGGACAGGGACAGAGGTTAATTTAATTTATCTGAGTGTGACAAGGACATGGACAGGTGTTAATTTAATTTACCTGAGTGTGACAGGGGTTAATTTACCTGAGTGTGACAAGGACAAGGACAGGGGTTAATTTAATTTACCTGAGTGTGACAAGGACAGGGACAGGGGTTAATTTACCTGCGTGCGTTGCCGCCTCAGCCAGCACGGCTGCCCGGATAGGGGAGCAGGAAAAGGACAGAAAGGAAGGAGTTAAACACTGGAGAAAAGAAGGAATTAGACACAAACACCGAGCACAGGGACAGGGCTGTCACAGCCAGAGGTGTTTGGAGCAGTGACAGGAGCCCAGAGACCCGTCCTGTCTGACCTGGGTGGCCACACAACCCCTTGGTGCCTCCTCAATCCAGACTTCCCTCGGAAGTCCTGGCAGGAAATTTTCCAGGTCTGTGCCCTCACTCCTCACCTGTCACTGTGCTTTGGTTGGCTGTCACCTGCAGGAGGCTCTGTGTGTGTCACCTGTGGGCTCTGGGTGTCACCTGCAGGAGGCTCTGGGTGTCACCTGCAGGCTCTGCCAGCCCGTGGAGCCACCCCCATACCAAGGTGTCCATGAGGACCAGCTTGGGTGGGGACTCTGAGCCACCTCGTGTGTGGCATCCTGCCCATGGCAGGGGTTGGACTGAGATGGTCTTCTGACCTTCAGGTCAGGAGTCCCTCCTGACCCAACCATTCCATGATTCCAAGATTTCTGTGACCATCCCACCTCCAAAGCCTGTTGCTGGGGTTGTTCCCTGGGATGTCCCAGCCTGGAGCAGGGGACAGCAGGAGCTGGTTGTGCCCCAGAGGGGAAGCTGTGACAGGCATGGGGGACATCCTCTGAGGGACCCCAGACCACAATGGGGTCCCAGGGACCCCATTGTGCCTGGGAGGGCACAATGATAGGAGCAGTGCAGACAGGCAGAAAACACAGGAATAACCCCGGGAAGCTCGAGGGCTGGAGGGTGAAGCTCAAACGAGTGTGGGTTTAACCAACAGCACTGAGCACACCTGACTTCCCCTTCCCTTCTCCTGCAGGGAAAGCCCCCAGCCCACGCCAGGAGCTCTGAGGCTTTACCTGGAGGCAATATTGGTGAAGGTCTCATAGGCGTTGTGGCGGGTGGGCTGCAGGCTCTCCAGCATGGTGCGGAACTCGGGGTCGTAGCGCCGGTAGATGTCGTCCCCGATGATGGCCAGGCGCTGCCCCACCTGGCTGCCCGTGCTGGGGGGACAGGGGGAGTCAGGCCAGGCTCTGGAGCACGGCCTGGCTCAGGGGGAGCGTGGGAGCAGGGATTTACCTCTCCAGGTCCTGCTGGATCTGCTCGATCTCGGGGTCGGGCGGCAGCTCCGCGCCGCGCTCCTGGCGCTCCTGCTGGTAGCGGTAGAAGGCGTAGCTGCGGAACACCTCCTCAGCCTCCTCTGCCACGCAGCCTTCTGCAGGGACACACGGACACACGTCAGGCCATCTCCCTCCATTCCCAGGTTTGGAAAGGGCCATTCCCACAGAACCTCCTCCAGACCCACACATGTCCCCACAGAACCTTCTCCAGACCCACACATTTGTCCTTGTCTCCATACAATCTTCTCCAGACCCCCACATGTATCCCTGTCCCCACAGAACCATCTCCAGACTCACACATGTCACCACAGAACCATCTCCAGACCCACACAGGTCTCCTTGTCTCCCCACAACCTTCTCCAGACCCACATAGGTGTCCCTACACCCACAAAACCTTCTCCAGACCCGCACATTTGTCCTTGTCTCCATACAACCTTCTCCAGACCCACACATGTCACCACAGAACCTTCTCCAGACCCACACAGGTGTCTCTGCACCCTCACAACCTTCTCCAGACCCACACATGTCCCTATCCCCCCATAAACATCTCCAGGCCCACACAGGTGTCCCTACAACCTCACAATTCTCTCCAGACCCACACATTTGTCCAGACTGGCCACACAGCACTCCAGAATCTGCATTTCCATCCTGAGATCTTCCTGCCCAGGGCTGGGAAGTGAGGGCACAGCTGTGCTGGCAATGCTGCCCCACACACCCCACCCCCAAACCCCAAATCCCACCAAATGCTCCTCACAGGCTTTGCCAGCTGCTCCCACCTCCCTGTCCTGGCTGGACCTGCCCTGCTTGGGTCACACCAGCAGAGCTGAAGGGAAAGGACAGCTCCTGTCACTTTTCCAGGGGTTGTTTTCTGTTCCTAGATAAGGGTTTGTTTCGCAAACAGATCTCCAGATTTCCCCTCTCTTTCACTTTCTTAGAGTGGCAGTCTGTGACGTTCCAAGAGCAAGAAAATAAAACCAACTGAGTCAGAGTTTAAGGGAGAGGAGGGCCAACACTCAGCCAGACACAAGAGGAAATCTCTGCACCAAAAAAAAAAATCCCTGGAGCTGTTTTTAGGAACGCCAGGACAGGAGGACACATTTCCCCCTTCCCACAGGTGCTATTCCCATTGGGATTTCTTGGGATCTCTCCCACCCAAGGGATCTGGGTCAGGGTTTGCCTGGTGGCAAACAGTGCCAAGGGGAGGTTTGGAGCTGCTCAGGGATCTCTGGAAGGGAGGAACTGCTCCATGTCTGCTCTGTGTGTGATTTACCCTCCTCACCTGCCCAGCAGCACCAGCAGTCACCGTGTCCCACCCTTCACCTGCTGGGCTGAGCTGAGGGTTTTTCCTGCCAGCCCCATTCCCAGTTTCACCCAGTAACCAGGGCAGGGCTGGGCTCACATGGGGACAGTGGCCCAGCCTGTCACCACTGCCCTGCCAGGGCACACAGCACCTGGTGTCACCCCAAGGCCACCCCGACTGACTGAGGTCTGTGTTTTCCTCTGTGATTTCAACCCCAAACACCTCCCACTCTCTCATGCTCAGGGAAGGAAATGCACAACACCAGACAGCTCCCAGCACTTTGTTCTCTCCGTGCCTCCAATCCCACCTTGCTGCCCACCCTGACCATCCAATGCCAAGCACACAATCCTTGGTTATTTTGGATGGAAAAGAACATCAAGGCTTTCCTCATTCCATCCAGGGACACCTCCCTCTAGACCAGGATGCTCCCAGCATTTCCCAAAAGCTCTGAGCACCTCCCAGTTCAATCCAGTTCCTTACAGAGCAGATCTGTTACCCCAGCCTTGCAAAAAGCTCTGGAGACAGGAAATCCCGTTTTGCCAAAGGAACACAGCAGGGAAATGAATTAAAAAACAAAAGTTTGAAGAGGAGGGGAGCACCCAGAGCCCCCCAGAACCCTTTACCTGAGCTGAGCCCGTGGCTCCCCCGGCGTTCCTCATTCCCCTCATTCCCTGAGGCCATTGCAGAGAGGTTTGGGGATGGCAGCTCCACCTGGAAGGGGGTGGAGATGGTGAGTGCCTGGAGGAGCCCTGTGGTCCCTCACGACCCGAGGAGCAGAGCCCTGCGCTTTTATCTCTGCCAGAGCTGGCTCCTCCCCTGCAGAACACTCATTCTGTACACACAGGAGGGTTCTGAGTGCACTCTGACCTCCCCGGTTTCCCTTTCTACCAGGATGCTGATGATGGTTTCCTTTTCTAAGGAGGGTGCTGATGTCATTTTTGTCATTAAAAGAGACCTCACACCTCTAATGGACTTCCCTACTGCTTCCAAAAGTTGTGGGCTGCACCAGCTCCTCCTCAGCCCAGCCCACAGAGCTTTCCAAAAGTCTTTAACAAAAATTCCAGCAGCTCTGAGGCTCCCTGGCTGTGACCACACTGAGCTGCCTGACAACATCTTCATGAGATGAGCCCTGATTTCCTCCAGGGCTCCAATTTCCTCGAATTCGCTTTGTTCTTTACATTCCCCCTCTCAGAAAATAAGAAAATTAAATAAATGAGAACTAAACACAAAGCTCATCTTTTCCCTGAAGTTCACAGGTGTCCTAAACCTGCAGTTCAGGGCTCATAAGAGCTCTCTGAGGCCACAAAGTTCCTGTCAGGATTCATGGGATCAGGGCAGCTCCTTGCTGCTGTCTGACATTCCAGAGCACATTCCCAGCCCACACTTCCACAGGGCGGAGCTGGGGACTTTCCTCATCTGCACCAAAGCTGAAATACAATTCCTGACACCCCAAAATTTAAATTGCATCCTGGACAAAAATAAAGAAGTGCTGGGTAGGGATAAATAACAACCCACGGGTATGGGAGAAGTGCACAAGGTGGTTCAAGCTCATGGCTTCAAACTGGAGATTGTTCAGAAGGCAAAAGAAATGGAAGTACAGCCCATTTGCTGTGGGATGGGGCCTGGAAGTGCAAAGCTGGGAAAACCACGAGGTCCCGCACAGCTGCACAGGGGCCTGAGCCTGGTGAGCAGGATGGAAATGCTGATTTTTCCTACCCTCTGAGGATGGAGGGCAGGATTGCCCCCTTCCTCCCCAAGCACAAACATCCCCATCCAAGGCAGAGCTGAGAAGGCAGTGAGGATCACCAGCTGGGACCAGGGGTAAATCACTGGGAGAGCTGCTGGGCACTGGCCAAATCAGCTGCAGAGCTGCCTCTCCTGGCTCTCAGAATCACAGAATTCCCTATCCTGGGATGTGCAGATCTTTTGGATGGTATCCACCCTTTGGGGTGGTGCAGATTCCTTGGGATGGTGCAGATCCCTTGGATGGTGCAGATCCTTTGGGATGGTGCAGATCCCTTGGGATGGTGCAGATCCCTTGGATGGTGCAGATCCCTTGGGATGTTGCAGATCCCTTGGTAGTGTCTATCCCCTGGGATGTACAGATCCTTTGGGTGATGTCCATCTCCTCCTCCACTCAGGAGCCCCCTGTGCTTCCCCCTCTGCCATCCCAGCCCATGGCCGAGCCCACCTGCACTGGGAGGACTCAGAGCTGTTCCCAAGCTGGGAGCAGCTCCTTGGAGCTGTGGGAACAGTGGGGATCTCCTCTGTACCCCCCAGTGCCACTGCTGGGCAGGGTGTGCATGCACCCAGCATAGAGCTCAGGATCCTCTGGAGCTTTTCCAGCTCGGCCTGTGGGGCAGAGGGCTGTGCCCACAGAGACCCAGGGCTGCCCAGGGGTGACAGGGCTGCCAGGGGTGATGGTGACTTTTCCTGCCTGGGATGGCTGAGTGAGGAGTGAGGACTTCCTGGAGCACTGTGCTGCCTGTACAGCACAGGAGCCCAGAGGCAAATGACTCACGATTTTCAACTCGAGTTTCATTTCGGAAGCCCTGTGGTGTCCTTTGTTTTTGGTTTCCTTCTGGCCCCTGGCAGCGCTGTTTTCTCTGACACACGTGATGCTGAGGCCCTGTCACTGCTGTCACCACCCTCAACCGGCCCCAAATGCCCATGTGGACTCCCAGAAGAGCTCACTGTCCGTCTCTGCAGGGCTCAGGGTGCCTCAGGCCATCCTCTCCAGCTTCCAGAGCTGCTGCCCGTGCTCCTCCTGCTTCCCAGCTTCCCCGTTCCCCCTTTGTTACAGGAACAAGGGTGTGAACCAGGAGGTGACACCCAGACACCCAGAGACAGCCTGGGGCTGCAGGAAATAAAAACCCTCCAAGATGTGAGTCAGGGCTCAAAGGGAGGGTGTCAGGGGGGCTGCAGGGTCTCATCCACACTACAGGCGTCCTCTAGGAGGCTGCAAGGGGTTAAAGCATCCAAGCCCAGCCAGGGGCTCTGGAATCACCCCCTGACTGTTATGAATGCCAGGAAATTGATGGAGCATCCCTTGTGACGAGCCTTGGCAGCGATCCTGCAGGACAGAGATCCCACAGGATCCCTGACCCCATCCCTGCCCGGCCAGCGGGGCCAGGGCCGCTTGTCCCCCTGCCCCTGACCCAGGGCAGCAAAAATTGGCCAGTTTGGGGCCATTTGGCCAGTTTGGGGCTTGCCCAGTTTGAGGGTTGAACAGTTCGGGGTTTGAAGAGTTTGGGGTTGCCCCAGTTCGGTGGTTGCAAGTTTGGGATCTGCCCACCCATCACGGTCCCAGGGTGGGCACAGGACCCTCACCATCCATCCAGCCAAGGTCACCCCCAAACCGTGCTCGGGGGTCCCGGCGGGGCCAGCACAGCCCCACGCGCCGTGCCCGTGTCCGGGTCACCGCTCGGGCATGGCGGGACGGGTGTCACCCGATCCCCGGCGGGGACAGCTGTGCCCACCGGTGTCCCCTGCCCTGAGCCCTTCGGGCCCTGCGCTACTGATGCCGCGGGCGCTGTCACCTCCAGGGTGGAAAAAATATCGGTTAAACGAGGGGAAATTCCCTTTTTGGGGCGGGAAAATTCCCTGTTTGGGGCAGCGACCCGCCCGGAGCGGGACCTCCAGCCCTGGCCCGGGGGTTTCTCACACCCACCGCAAACTTTGTCCCTGTCCTCCCTCCCACACCCCGCATCCCGCTCCATCCCTGCCCATCTCATCCCGGCCCGGAGAACGGGGATAACCAATCCCGGGAGAGTTTGGGGAGGGGGAAACGGGGAGAAAACTCCACTCACCGCGTCCCGGCGGGTCGGGATATCCCGGGAGCTACGGCATCCCTGCCGGGACCCGCTCCATCCCTCCGGCCGCTCCCTTCCTGCCTCCCGCCCGGGCAAAGGAAGCGCGCGGGGCCGAGGAGGAGGAGGGAAAAGAAGAAGAGGAAAAAAAAATCAAGTAGAAACCCAACCCCAGTGACCATAGATAGAGCCGCGCTTTATTCAGATTTATTCAGCTCCCTCTAGAGGCACCAACCCCCGAGCTCCGGGGGATTTTTGGGGGGGGTTCTGGGGGTTCCTTGGGGAAGCTGAAGCATCTCCCGGTCCCTGTTGCGGCTCGGGGGGTGCAGGGTGCGGGGTTGGTACCGCACAGCCCGTGCCATCCCCGGAGATCCGCTCTCCCGCACATCCTCGCCTCCTCCCTGGCTTCTCCAGGAGTTTTCCTTACGGCTGAACCTTAAATTCCTCCTCTGCCAGGCTGAGAGCCCGGTTAAAGTAACGACTTGAGAGTTTATTTTTCCTGGGAGGGAACTTGTATCGATCCAGCAGGAAAAAAAACCCAAAGTCCTCGGTGGCAGAGGCGGCTCCCACCAAGCGCCTCAGGGAATTCGAAATCCGCGGAGATTTTGGGGAAATCGCAGCAGCTCGAGAGAGATTCAGCCCTGGAGGGTTCAGCAATCTGAACCCCAGCTGCTTTTCCTCTCCTCGTTGCTTGGGCCGCTGCCAGGGCGGCTGGTGGGGCTGGCAAATGCCAGATAAGCAGCGGAGCTTTGGGGCTGGGCAGAGCCCGAGAGCGATTATGGCATCACCCGACCGGCAGGAGCGCTCCGAGGGATCTGCTCTGCCCCGGGATTTTTGGGATTCCTGCCTGGAATGGGTCCCTTGGCTTTGGAATATCTGGAATATGAGGATCCTCTCTCAGCCATTCCTGAGAGAAGTTCAATTCCCACAGAGGGAGGGGAGGTGACAGCTCGGGGGACTCACTGTCCTTTGTTTTGGGCTTTTTGGTGAAGGTGCAGGGCCCCCAAAAGCAGAGGTGTCCCTGGGGAAGAGGCGCTGGAACACGAGCTGACAGCAAAGGGCTTCAGGTGAGGGGGGTGAGAGGATGGGGAGAGTGAGGGATGCTCTGAGGAGGATCCCAGGCCTTGGAAAAGGTTTAAGGATGGAGAACTATGAGCAAAACTGATCCCAGCTCTGCCCTGGCCCTCCAGGGGTGTCCTGGAGGTTCTTCCATCCCTCCCAGCTGAGGAGGGAAGCAGCCTGGGACAGTGAAGGTGTCCCTGCTGTGAAAAACGCCAATCACTAGTTTTTAAAATTTTAAAAGTTTAATAGTAATAAAATGGTTATAAAAATAGTAATACAATTAGAGTAATAATAATTTGGATAATTTGAATTAGGACAATATGAGACAATAAAGACAAAGAGTTACAGACATCCAGGTATCTCTTTCTGGGCAGCATGAGCCTGAAAAAGGACCTGCATTAACAAAGGATTAACCATTAAAAGCAACAGCCTGTTGCATATTCATACACTTCATACATGATGCATAAATTGCATTCAAACACAGGATTCGGTCTGGTCAGTGTCAGCTTCTTCCTCTGAATCCTAACAGCACCTTCGAGGCAGGAAGAAGTTCGTTTCTTCTGATAAGAGGGCAATAAATTCTCTTTCTCTGAAAGATTCAGGTGTCCTGTGGCTGCTATCTCGCTGTGAGTCCTTTCTTTTAAAAAAAAGTATCCTATATAGCACAGTTTTTATTTTAACATTTTTTATAACCTAAAACTATATTTAACACACTGCTTAACAGAATTAACAGAGCATTACTTTCTAACACAACATATATCATATTAATTTTAATATTTGCCAAGAGCCAATCATAAAATACATGCATTTTTCACACCTGCAATAGGATGGACTTTAAGGTCCATTCCAAGCCATCCGAGGATTCCGTGGTTCTCAATCTCCTCGGAGCACCAGGTGGCACTGTCCGACTTCCCAGCGAGCCGAGCTGAGCCGGGCTAACCCGGCTGGGAGGCGCAGACACCGCTGGCTGCGGCTCCGGGCCAGGGGACAGCGGGGACAGCACGGTGGGACAGCGAGGGACAGGTTCTGCGTGGGTCAAAGGGGTTTTCCAGGGATTTTTTGGGTGGGTGGATTCACCTCCTGCACCCTCAGCAAATCCCAGAAGGGTAAAATCCCCACCCAGCAAAGCGCTGTTGTTGGCCAGGTTTGTCCCAGAGTTTCCCTCTGGGGGTCCCGAGGGGGACAGGGCACCTTTCCCGTGGTGTCCCCACGCCGGGGTGTCCCCCCGTGCTGGCTCTGCAGGAGCACAGAACGAAGGAAATGGCTTTTTCCTCTCTCCCGGGCCGTCGCTGCCTGCGGGAGGAGCGTGCTGCTGGCTGAGGGCAGCCAGGGTCAGGAATTCCCCCAGGAATGGAGGCTTTCCATGGCCAGCGGGCCCATCCTGCACAAAGCCCCCCTCAGGCTGAAATTTAGAGGCATTCACAAGTCTGGCAGTGACCCATGAGGTGCTTTGGAGGGGAAGATCTGCTGTGCAACACCTTGGAGAACATTCCCAGATCCCAGAGCATTCCTAGCCCTCAGAACATTCCCGGCCTTCAGAGCATTCCCAGGCCCCAGAACATTCCCAGAGCATTCCCAGATCCCAGAACAATTCCAGCCATCAGACATTCCCAGCCAGCATTCCCAGCCCCCAGAGCATTCCCAGATCCCAGAACATTCCCAGCCCTCAGGACATTCCCAGTCCCCAGATCCTAGAACATTCCCAGATCCCAGAATATTTCCACACCCCAGAACATTCCCAGCCCTCAGAGCATTCCCAACCCTCAGACATTCCCAGCCCAGAAAACATTCCCTTCCCTCAGAGCACTCCCAGGTCCCAGAATATTCCCAGATCCCAGAACATTCCCAGGCCTCAGACATTCCCAGCCCTCAGGACATTGCCAGGCCCCAGAGCATTCCCAGCCAGCATTCCCAGATTCCAGAACATTCCCAGCCCTCAGAGCATTCCCATCCCTCAGACATTCCCAGGCCCCAGAACATTCCCAGCCCTCAGAGCATTCCCGTCCCTCAGACATTCCCAGATGCCCAGAGCATTCCCAGCCCTCAGACATTCCCAGCCCTCAGAACATTCCCAGGCCCCAGAACATTCCCAGCCCTCAAAACATTCCCAGCCCCCAGACATTCCCAGCCCTGACAGCATTCCCAGCTCGGTCACGGGCTGCAGGAGCTGCTGGCAGCCCGGCTCGGGCTAATCTGGGAATTGTATGCCAGGAAGGGCACACCCAGCCGGGACAAAGGCTGCGCTGCTCGCTCCAGCGCTCCCGGGCTTCCCCTGAGCGCCCCGGGGCTGCTCTGGAGCCGGCCCGGCCTCGCTGCTCCCTCCCCGCACCTGCCCGGGGCTTGGGCACCTGCTCCAGGTGTGGGGACACAGTTTGGAGACGCCCTGAGCTGCTGGAGGCTTTCCCAGCCCCGCCTCGTGTTCCTGCCCATCCCTGGGGAACGTCACAGAACGGGGATGTAGAACTCAAACTGCCCTGGTCAGGCTGAAACCTGGGGCTGTGAGAGATGCTCACCATGAAACTGGGGCTGTGAGAGAGATATTAACCCTGGCCAGGCTGAAATTGGGGCTGTGAGAGAGATGCTCACCCTGAAATCAGGATTGTAAGAGAGATGCTCACCCCGAAATCAGGGCTATGGGAGAGATGCTCACCCTGAAATCAGGGCTGTGAGAGAAATGCATACCCTGAAACTGGGGCTGTGAGAGAGATGCTCACCCCGAAATCAGGGCTATGGGAGAGATGCTCACCCTGAAATCAGGGCTGTGAGAGATGCATGCCCTGCTCATCCCCAGGGTGTTTAATCCAGACCATGACAGTGGTAAATTCACTCAGCCATCGTTGTTTTCCTGCTGGTGTGGTTTAGCAGAGCTGTCCTGGCAACAGCCCCTTCCCGTGATGCCTTCCCAGGTACCAAAACTCTCCGTCCTTGACACATCCTTAGAAGCCTTGAGCTCCAAATAGACTCCAGGCTGTGCAAAACCGCCCGAGATTTCCCGAAGCTGTAGAAAATGTGGGGGTTGTTATTATTAGAGCTCAGCCTCTGCCAGGGCAAGTGTCAAACACCACCGAGGTGTCAGGAGGAAGGGTTTGACCCGGCTGAGTCACTGCAGGGCAGCTCCTGGCGGGGTTCTGTGTCACCAGGATGCCTTCTGAAAAATCCCTTTGCCAGGATTTTTCTCCTGAGAAGTTGAGGAAAAGAAAAACAATGATTATCTGCTGCTGTAGAATGCAGCAGGTGCATCTTTGATTGGTCTCATGTGGTTGTTTTTAATTAATGGCCAATCACAGTCCAGCTGTCTTGGACTCTCTGTTCAGTCACAAGATTTTATTATCATTCCATTCCTTGCTAGTCTTCTGATGAAATCCTTCCTTCTATTCTTTAGTGTAGTTTTAATATATAATTTTCTTTTAATATAAATCATAAAATAATAAATCAGCCTTCTGAAACATGGAGTCAAGATTGTCATCTCTTCCCTTATCCTGGGACCCCTGTGAGCACCACCACAGTTCCGGGCCCCTCTGAGGGAAGCAGCTGAGAGGAGCCTGGCAGGGACAGCCAGGCCTTTCCTCAGTGTCACCGTGCTCCTTGTCCCCATGGAAAGGAAAGACACCTCAGCCAGGCTGTGCTGGGCAGCTCAGATATTATAATTCAGATATTATGATTCAGATATTATTTTATATTATAAAATAATTTATAGAAAAAATATATTAATAATATGAATGAACACAAGCCCTATGAGGAATGTTTGAAGGAGCTGGGGCTCTTTAGCCTGGAGAAGAGGAGGCTTAGAAATGACCTTATTGCTCTCTACATCTTCCTGAAGGGAGGCTGTAGACAGGTGGGGGTCAGTCTCTGACAGAACCAGAGGACACAGTCTCAAGCTATGTCAGGAAAGGTACAAGTTGGATATTAGGAAAAAATAAATGAAGTACTGGAATGCTCTTCCCAGAGAGGTGGTGGAATCACCATCTCTGGATGTGTTTAATAAATGACTGGACATGGCACTTGGTGCTACAGTCTGGTTGAGGTGTTGGGGCATAGGTTGGACTTGATCTGAGAGGTCTCTTCCAACCTCATCA